CAAGGTTGAGAAACACTGCTGTAGAGACTGAGAAAGATAACCTTGATGGAAATATGCAGGAACTGCACTTAAGGAAAAGAGGCTGAAACATTTTTCGAGTCCAGAACGTGCAGATAACATTTGGAAGTGGCTCAGACAGACACCTCCCTGATTCGCAGGAGTATAAGAAGGGGAAGGAGATCCAACACAATCCGACTTGCAAGAGTCTGTTATTAGAGACAATCTCAATGAAAGTAATTTTAGCCTTCTGGTGGAGTGGATTTCCTGCTCTGGTCTACCTCATGGGGCTGACAAAGAATGTCTTGAGCAGCCATGGGGATTCAGAGACCGCCTGTAGGTCTTCTTTCTTACCCTGGAACAACTCCCCCACCTTATTTATGCAACTGGACTGGACAGGAGGCATCTAAATTGCCCTGGGTGTAAGGAGGAGACGGGATTTTCTCTCCTTGGTGACCTGGCTTTTCAACTGGCAGTGACAGCTGGGCTCGACCTAGCGATGGGGACCCAAGACATCAACCTCCAAGGAAGGGGAGAAAGGGGAAAAAGGGGAAGGGGAGCAGTCCTCTTTCCCCATCCCCTCTTTGCTCCTCCTCTCCAGGTTGGAGCCCTCCAAGGTGAAGCCTTCCATAACTTGTATCCTCAAGGTGAGGTGGTCCTTGCTGAGTGTCCATTCCATGAAGGTCAAGGCAAAGTATCTCCTAACCTTCCTCAGGAATCTCTGGGGTAGAAAAGGTTGGGGGTCTTTTGGGGGGGGAATATGACCTGGCAGAATCAGTTGAGGAGATTGGTGGAGACTGAAGTTCCCTCAGCAAAGGGCAAAGGGAGCACAGCAGCCTAGTGCCACCAGATCTCATCTCCTTCAGTGGCCGGCATGTCCGGTTCTCCAGAAGAGCGGTGAGCCATGCTCTGGACGACGTAAATGCCGTGTGGTTTGTGGTGGGTGCTTCAGTATCCCAGTGTGGGGAGAGCCCAACAGGAACATGAGAAGGTCCAGCGGGGCATTGTTGGAGGTTGGCCCCCTGGCTTGACCCCAGGCATCAGAGATTTCCTCCAATACACTCACAGACAGCAAATTGCAGCCTATGAGCTGGCCTGCTGCCTCATCTTTGAAGATAAGCGGAAAAAGAGAAGAAGAAGGGAATGGTTTCCATGTTTTCTGGGAGAGAGCAGGACCAGAACTAAGGACTGAGCTGCTCCCTTTTGGGGCCCTCAGAAACATGTTGGGCGATGCACGTGGCCTTCCCTCCCACCTCACGATGACTCATTGTCATGTGCGAATCAAGCTTTTATGGCCTTCGAAAACAATTGTGGTTGAAAAAAAAATCCGGGTGTACCACGAGGTTGGATTTCCCGGTGACCTCCGACCCAAGAACTCAGCACGTCCAACCTGCTTAACTTCAGCCACCTGTCGTGGCAAGCCGTGGCTGAGACCTTCATGAAGCCTGAGCTGTGGTCTGGACTTGGAGGCCAACTGCCTTTTGCAGTGGCCATTTCTGTAGCGCTCCCCCCCATCCAAAAAACAAACCCAGGCTGCAAATTGTTGACCCTTGAACGAGTCCCCCAAGCCTAGGGGCCCATAACTTTGCTTCATCTGGAGGTAGCATTTTTTTAAAAAAAATTGGCACGGAAACTTTAGCTTTTTTCTGCATGGTCCGAGAACAAGCCCTCTAAAAGGCTCTATTTTGGGGCTCCATTCATATGCTAAACGCTCTCCCGCCCCCCCCCCCCCCCC